GGCAAAGAACCCCAGTGAGCAAACCAGGGACCCAGGACTCAAACCAGGTTGGCTTCTGTCAGGACCCAGAAGCCAGAGCCTGAGCAGTTAATTCTGCATTACAGCACCTCCCGTTCACGTCAGAGCTAGGATTCTGCCCAAGCGCCGGAAACCCTTCTCTCTTATGTGGCACGCCACAGTCCTGACTCCAAAGAGTGGCTTGGCGCCTGCTCGTGGTGTGAATCAACGGAATGAACAAACTCTCCAGGACCCAGGCTTCACACCTGAAGGAGGAAGGCCCCTGATTTTCACAGCACCAAGTTTTCTCCTTTAGAATGACAAGTTCTCATCTTTTCCACTGTGCTAGCTGGTTAAATAACAAAGTGCTCTCGAAATGGCTTGTTTCCTGTATTTGTTTCATTCCAGGAAGAATGTGAGAAAGCTTTGGAAATAAAGCATTTCATTTATAAGCTATCCTGCAGCCCACCATCGGTAATTCAAAACTATCATCCTACATAAATTGGTATCATCATACCTGGAGAACCTTCTGAAAGATAATATTTGTGGACCTCTGACTTCCAATGTATGGGTCTGAAAGCAAGAATAATCCAGCAGTATTTGTTCCCACAGGAGATTTCTGGGCACAATTTTTAGAAGAGAAATATGTTAGACCTGTATAGGATCAATCTCATGAAAAATTTAATGGTTAATGGGCCCCGGGCTTTCTGAATGAGATTCTGGCGTAAGACCCAAATAGTTATGAGGTACAAGGGTGCCTCTTGCAGGAGAAAAAGAACTAAAAGGAAATCAGAAATCTGGTGGTTTTCTGTGTGTAAATGCATGGTGGCCTCAGCTAGATTCTCTCGTATTAATCCCAGCCCAGTGGTGTGCAGTGATTTTGATGAAAGGGGTAAAGTTATCACTCTAGGCAATGAATCAGAAAAATTGATGGGGGCAAAGAAAATATCATGTATCATGTAGCAAGTGTCATGGTCATTTGAAATCTTGGAATTTGGAGGAAATATCTAGGGAGGAGTGTGAAAATGGGGAAGGATGCAAGATATATATTTAGTAGAAGGAGTCTGTATCGTAAATGCAGCTGCAGCTTCGTCTGGATATGAAAATAGCCTAGAGGGGAATCTGTACCTAGGAGATGTAACTGGCTTGAGCAAAGGCAAGGGTCACCAGGAGGCTTTGGGAACAAACGCCATCCATGACCCTCTGCGTGCCCTGGTCTTTAGCCTGTGTTTACTAGGCTTTTGCGAACACATGTTGAATGCATGGATGAGGAAGTCTAGGAGGCAACAGTGCATTTGAAAGGCATCTTTTAAAAATTACTGGACAATTTTTTAATATGTATTTATTTTAATAATGCTTCTTTTTTAATTTTTTTAAAACTAAAAAAAAAAAATTTTTAATTTTTTGGCCGTGTCGTGTGGCTTGCAGTATCTTAGTTCCCCGACCAGGGACCGAACCCGGGCCCTCAGCAGTGAAACTGCAGTCTCCTAACCACTGGACCGCCAGGGAATTCCCAGTAGACTTTTTTTTTTAGCAGGTTTAGGTTTATAGAAAAACAGAGTAGAAAGTACAGAGTTTTTCCTATATTCATTTCTTCTGCACACAATTTGCCATGTTATGTCTTGCATTAGCGGGGTACGTGTGTTGCTTTTGATGAGCCAATGTTGACACATTATTATCAATTAAAATACATGGTTTACATTAGAGTTCACCATTGGCATTGCGCCTCCTGTGGGTCGGGACAAATGCGTAATGATTACAGCATCGTACATAATACTTTCCCTGCCCTAAAAATCCTCTGTGCTCTGCCTCGTCTTCCCTCCCTCCCCTCCAACCTCTGACAAGCACTGATCTTTTTACTGTCTGCCTAGCTTTGCCTTTTCCAGCATGTCATAGAGTTGAATCATGCAGTATGTCGCCTCTTCAGATGGGCTTCTTTCACTTAGCCCTATGCATTTAAGGTTCTTCCATGTCTCTTCATGGCTTGATAGCTCATTTCTTTGTATCACTGAATAATATCGCACTGTCTGGATGGCCCACAGTTAGTTTACTCATTCACCTGCTGAAGGACACCTTGCTTGCTTCCAAGGTTTTGGCAAAATTGTAAATAAACGTGCTCTAAATATTTACATTGTGTCCATAGAAGTTATCACGGAAGCCACATTTTTTAAAAAGGCATTTCTTCACGGCATTTTCTTCATGCTAAGATACTTCTGTGTAATATGTGAAAGCTGAATTTCATTTGAAATGGAGGTGCGTGGTTGTATGCCCTTTTGCAAAATACCAATTAAAACACAAGGAAGTAAAACCCTGAATGCTCTGCTCTCTGCCTAATCTGTGTTATTTTATTTAGAAATTACTATATGCACCAAAAGGGCCATTTTTCCTTCAAAGTGTTAAGTGGGGGGGGGGGGCTTCCCTGGTGGCGCAGTGGTTGAGAGTCCGCCTGCCAATGCAGGGGATGCGGGTTCGTGCCCCGGTCCGGGAAGATCCCACATGCTGCGGAGCGGCTGGGCCCGTGGGCCAGGCCGCTGAGCCTGCGCGTCTGGAGCCTGTGCTCCGCAACGGAAGAGGCCACAGCAGTGAGAGGCCCGCGTACTGCAAAAAGAAAAAACAGTGTTAAGTGGGGGTTACATCGCCTTCTTGCTTCTTCCTCTGTGAACTCATTAAACTAATTACCATTTTCAAAGTGATAAGCCTTAAATTAGTGTCAGAGTCAAACTTCCCCAAGCCCGAGTGCACACGTGATTTGCTTAGCTGAACCAAATCACAGCATGATAAATGTCTGGCTGACGATGATTTATCATGGGTGACAAATCACTAAAATGGCCCCGTGCATATTATTTTTGGTCCTGAGGATGACATTTATGTATATGGTGTGGCTTCTAGGAATGTTTCTTATATGAGTTAAAACACTGAAAAAGTTTGAATGTACTGTAGCCTGTGGCACTGCAATCAAATAGCAAGAATATGTCTGGTAACAGATGACTGGGGTCTTGCTTTCACATCAGAAATCATCTCTGCCACCTCCGTGGAGGGTTGTCTCTGTGGCCTTCTACCCCTTTTCTGGACCAAGCTGGTAAAGGTGCAACCCTGGAGTCCAGGGCCTGTCTCCACGGAGGGCATGACCTACCTGATGGATAGGATTACCCATATTCAGTTATTATTTCTGCTACAAAGGATGCCTGGTGTCCTTTTAGAATTCCAGTTGTGTGGTTACCTACAGTGAAGAGATGGTCCCCTGTCTAGACGAGTGATGCTATAGCCACACCAAGAGGATGTGGAAAAGGTTGTAACTCACATATAATGAGGCTTTCTGGGGAAAGCAGGACAGCGCCTAGGCTGGTCTGAAGATGGCTTGAGGGAGATGGGAAAGGAGACAGATTCAGCTTTCATGGTGGGTAGGAGCTGGGGCTTGGATGTGAGTTCCCACATGGAGGTAGGAGCTGGCATAGTTTGAACCTTCCACGGGCACTGAGGGAGGGAGCCCCCAGGCTTTCTTATTAGCTTGTTGGGCACAAGTGGAAGAGGCAGAGGTGAGACTTAAAAGCTCTTAGCTGTCAAACATCAAAAAACTGAGTCAGATCCTTTAATACCTCAAACGATAACTGCAGGCATGGACTAAATGAAATTGGCAGCATGTGAATGTAGCAATCTCCGTGAAAATTGTAAATTATATACCTCTGGTCTGACCATCATTTTCTTCTGATCTGAGAGCAGGTGGTAGCTTCCTAATCAGAGAGTCCGTGTTTCAGCCCATTCTTCAATCTTCAGCTGGCTTCTGTTGTGTTTTGTTTTGTTTATTCTTATGGAAAATTTGAGGCATCCATAGAAGCAGAGAGAAAAGCGCAGTGAACTGCCATATGCCCTGGATCCACATTTAACAATTAATGAAGTCACGCCTGACTTTATTAATCCATGCTCCGTACTCACTTCCCTTCTTCCTGGATTAATTTGAAGAAGACAGCAGCCATCATTATCGTGTCATCCATGGGTGTTTCAGGATGTAGCTCTAACGTTTTATCCTTCATGTCTTTTTTTTTTTTTTTTTTTTTTTTTTTACTCCTCTGTGATTTTCACTGAGTTCATCCACTTAACTCTGCAGGGTTTGAGAGTTTGGGTTTTCAGTCAGACTTAACTCTTCCTTTCTGGGTCTCTCACTTCCTAACGGTGTGACTTTGAACAGGTCATGTATCTTTTTGGAGCACTGTTGCCCTCACCTGCGCAATGGAGCCGATGCTCTTTACTCGTAGGGTTCAGTATGATGTAATCAAGAGAACATGGAATAAAGTCCTCTGCAGGCAGAGTGTTCAACAAATGGTACCCATTACTCTCATTGTTGACCATGGTATCATTATTATTTTGAAGGGTTGCTCTATGGGGGTTAGTATACAATGTGAAGTATGGGGAAAGAAGGTGAGGAAAAGAAACAGGAAAGTGTGAGGAATATTTATTTTCATGATGGACAGTTTTAGACCTGGGTATCTATGGTAAGTATGAAAAAGGTCATTCATCATAAAATAGTTTTAGAGATGTTTGTTTGTATAAGGGGAACAGTGATGATTTAGGTTTTTCCAGTCAATAAGGAAAACCAGTAGACTTCTTTATAGCCTCAGGCCAGCTGGTGATTGCAGCAATTTGGCTTCTCTCTTCCGGCATCTTCCTCCAAGGGGCTCATGATCAGGGAGCCTGATTCTTCTAGAATCCTTTATCAGGTCTCCCTACAGGGTCATCCCATGATGCCTAGACGTTCCAATGATGCTTGTAGATGATACTTAATGCAGTGACTGCATCTCTTCATGGTCTCTGCCGAGAGCCCGGCCACTGTGGCTCCTTCTGATTATGCTGCATCCCCTGTTGGGATCAGCACAGGAGAGCTCAGTGGGTAAGACCATCTCCTTCTCACCATGAGAAATTAACAGACAGGTCAATGAGGGCGAATCACCTCCCTTTCTTTTGTAAAGATTGCACTGTTTTAACACTGAGTCTTTTCTCCCCTTCAGGGCAGATTTTGGATGTTCTAGATGAGCTGAAACTGGCTAATAACACCCTGGTTTACTTCTCCTCGGACCAAGGAGCACATGTCGAGGAGGTGACTGTCAAAGGGGAAGGTCACGGAGGCAGTAACGGAATCTATAAAGGTGAGAAATCTGTCCAGGTGGGAAATGCCACAGTGTCAGCTCTGTGCTCTGCCTGCCCCCCGCAGCTTACCCCCTCATCACCTTCTCTTGGACCTTGGAGCTGTGGTGCTATTCTTCTGCCACTTGAAACATACAGGGCTTTATTGGGTCACAGGCATTGAAAACTCAGATGGCCAAAGTGACCGTTTCCGCTATGGTCCCCCCAGAACTTAAGAGCACGCATTCTGTGTCCAGACATTAAAATGAGGGTGTTTTCCCCCTAAATGTAAATTCAGCCCCATATGTGTAGTTGGTTCAAACAAGACCCCTTACACCCTCCCCGCATGACCTCTACAACTGCAATTGCTTTAAGCCTGGAAGTTTGTGTTGATTTGTTACGGCAACAGTAAAAAGCTATTAACTTGTAGTTGGGCATCAGAAGTTTGAAATGTGTCTCACTGGTCTAAAATCAAGATGGTAGCAGGACTGCATCTTTCTGGAGGCTCCAGGGGAGAATCCATTTCCTTGCCTTCTCCAGCTTCTGGAGGTGGTCACTCTCCTTGGCTCATGGACCCTTTCTTCCACCTTTAAGGCCACCAATGCAGTGTCTTCAAACCTTCCTCTCTGTCTCTGTCTCTCTCTCTCTCTATCTCTTTCTCTCTGACCTCTGCTTCCATAATTCCATCTCTTTCACTTACTCTGACTTTCTTGCCTGCGGTTTTAAGGACCTTGTGATTATGTCAGGCTCACCCACGTAATCCAGAGTAATTTTTCCTATTTCTAGACCCTTAATCACATCTGCAGAGTCCCTTTTGTCATGGAAGGTAACCTAGTCACAGTGTCCGGGGATGAGGATGTTGACATCTTTGGGAGGTCATTATTCTGCCTATCTCCATATGCTACAGCATTGTGGGCTGATGCTTCCTTCCTGACAGAGCGTTCGCTAAGCCACCACCAAGATGGATCAGGCTACCTGTCATTGAGGATATTAGATAAGACCCATCTGTTGACCCCAAGTTGCTTATACAACATACACTCTGCGAATAGAAGACATAGATACCTGGTTATAATAACATGTGGCCCATTTCACAAAGACTTAGGTGAGATACCTCAAAGGGCATATCCGTGCTAAGGGTTAGGACACCACCGGAATCTGCAGTGGATGTGGGTTGGATGTAACATGGGGGAGGATGATTAGAAGTGACCATGCAAAGAAGCAAAGCAAGGTGTCCCAGACAGTAGGGGCTGCTGAATAAAGCAAGATGCGTGACACATAGGAAAGCGCATTGAATTTTGCTTCCTAAAACGATGAGGTGCTCTATTGCCCTTTCATTATTCTCTCACATGGATGTTTCACAGATTCCCAGGGACTCAGGAAATCAGAGTTTACCTACAAAGATATGAAATGCTAATCTATGGAGTGCTTTCATCCATTAGTTTACAAAACCCTGATTGAGCTGTGTATCTGGCACTGGGTTAGAGGCAACAATGCGGTCCCTGCCCTAAAGGAGCCCATGGCCAACGGGTTGAGTAGGTGGGTGGCTGGTTGGTTGGGTGGATGGTTGGATGGTTGGTTGGGTAAATGGCAGGTTGGTTGGGTGGGTGGTTGGGTGGGTGGGTGGTCAGTTGGGTAAGTGGGTGGTTGAGTGTGTGGATGGTTGGGTGGTTGATTGGGTGGGTGGTCGGTTGGGTGGGTAGGTGGGTGGATGGTTGGTTGGGTGGATGATTGGTTGGGTAAATGGCTGGTTGGTTGGGTGGGTGGTTGGTTGGGTGGGTAAGTGGGTGGATGGATTTTTGGGTGGGTGGATGGTTGGGTGTTTGATTGGGTGGGTGGTCGGTTGGGTGGTTGATTGGGTGGGTGGTCATTTGGGTGGGTAGGTGGGTGGATGGTTGTTTGGGTGGGTGGATGGTTGGGTGATTTGGTGGGTGGTCGGTTGGGTGGTTGATTGGGTGGGTGGTCATTTGGGTGGGTAGGTGGGTGGATGGTTGGGTGGGTGGGTGGTTGGTTGGGTCAGTGGCTGGTTGGTTGGGTCGTTAGTTGTTTGGGTGGGTGGTTGGGTTGGGGGTGGTGGGAGGAAGCCTAAGGTGGCCCATGTGATTTAACAAGGGTGTCGACATTCTTGGCACAAGATTCCAGTGGCGCATACAGCAAGGAGAGCCTCACTTGGCCAACAGGGCCCAAGAAATGTTCCCAAAGGAGACCAGGCTGGGAAGGAGGTAGCCAGAGTGTGCTTGAGCTCTTATCCTTCTACCTGAGCTCTTTCCACTCTCCCAACCACATACCCTCCTCAGTAGAGCTGGGTTGAGGAGAGAAGCACATGGCTTACTCTGCAAACTGGCAGGAATGGGGTAACACCAGATCACACCAGTCCTGAACCAAACAGGCAGCGAAAAGGCAGTCTGTCACCCATCCCAATGGCAGCACGTAGCCTGTGAAACCTTATACTTCTATTTACATCCTTGACATGCACATCTGAGTCCTTTCAAATTCTGAGCACTGGGGGGCCAGGACCTTTGTTTACACGTTGGTTACCTGGAACCCAGGAGGGAAGGATTCCTGTTCAGTGCAGGTCTGGACAACCTCGCTGGATGTTCATACCACTTCCTTTGCTTGTCATCGCTCCCTCCCCAGTGCAGGACACACGACTGACACTCAGCATGGGTGAAATGACTGAACAGGTGTCTGTACTTGGAACAGGATTAACCCACTCTTTCAGCCAGCCCTCCTCTATTCAGTCTTATTTTCGAGGATCGAGAAGTGAAAGTATGTATATTCCTGTATAGTAAGATGAGGTGCTTTTGTCGTATTTCCTTGAGGTTATGGACTGTGTGCGGAGAGTTGTTTTCATGTTATTTTATACATGATAGTGTCTCTCGAGATGGAGTCACAGACTGCATTTCATGCACTGGCTGCCCCGTCCATTCATTCCCCCGGTGAGGGTCTGTTAGGTTCCAAAGTTGCTTAGTGGCTGCTGCCGAGACGTGTACATAAATCACAGTAATAGATTCGGTTAGCAAGTAATACGTTATTTAAGAAAGTCACATATATGGTGCGACGGAGCCTTGGTTCGGGGACAGATGACCAGATGACCACCAGCTGATGAATCTGAGGGAGCCTGATGATGAAAAGAAGGAGATGTACTGGCATTTTGCTTCGATGGCTGACTCTTCAGAGACATAAGTGGATGGTGAGGATGAGTCAGAAAGAGAGCGTCCAAGGTCTGAATGATGCCTTGGAATCGGGCTTCTCATACAGTCTGAAGAGCAGGCTCACAGCTGCTCCCTGTTTTTTGGGTTTTTTTTTTTTTAGGAAACTTATTGGTTGTGTTAGAAATGCTTTGTTTGAATGCTAGAACTACCATCGGTGTCTGACACTGTATTAATATCTCAGCCACTACTCTATTGCGAAGCATTATCCCTTTGTCAAGTTTAGTGGAAATCAAGTTCACAGTGAAACATGGTTAACGGTATGATGCTCAAAAAAAGAAAAAAAAAAAAAAAGATGCAGCTTCCTTCTAGCTATGGGGAATGACCAAAGACTTCTCAGTGTCAAGACGCCTTGTTTTCTAAAGCTGTGAACTTGCATGCGCTCCTATGATTTATGCGAACACAGAGAAGTCACACCGTTTGAGCTCACTGATCAAAAGAGCGTCCTTTCAGAACAATCCTGTTTTGCAGTCTTCATCAGAACTGCTCCAAAAGATCTATACTTCCTCACATGGCCTTCTCTTCTCTAGTCACATCCCATCCTGCCTCACTCTACTAAGGGCACTGCTACTGTCACCTAGGGCAGATAATCCGCGATAACCTCCTCATCACACCATCAGTAATGTAATCATATCTACAAAGTCCCCTTTTCAGAAAACAAGGTACAATTCAAAGGTTCCAAGAATTCCAACATGGACATCTTTAGGGGTCATTATTCAGCCTTCCCCTAAAAAAACAAAAAACAAAAAACTATACTATTTGAGCTCAGTGATCCCTCTGTGTTCCTCAGTCTGTTTCACTAATGAAATCTATGGACTGCCTTGGTAGAATGGCTGTGATTAAATCACTACACAGAGTTCAACAGCTAATCCCTTTTAATCAGAGGAACATTAGATTCTGCTGTAGTCTGCATTTCAAAACATTAATTTAATTTTGTGGGGTTGAGGGGATAGTGACACTACTAGATTTTTCTCTCTCTCTTTTTTCTAATTGAAATATAGTTGATTTACAATGTTGTGTTTGTTTCAGATGTACAGCAAAGTGATTCATTTATACACACACATATATCTATTTTTTTCAGATTCTTTTCCCTTACAGGTTATTACAAAATATTGAGTATAGTTCCCTGTGCTATACAGTAGGACCTTGTTGATTATCTATTTTTTTTAACTTTTTAAAAAAATTGATATATTTTATTTTTTTATTTTTGGCTGCATTGGGTCTTCGTAGCTGCGTGCGGGCTTTCTCTAGTTGCTGTGAGTGGGGGCTACTCTTCATTGTGGTGCACGGGCTTCTCATTGCGGTGGCTTCTCTTGTTGCAGAGCATGGGCTCCAGCAGTTGTGGCACGTGGGCTCAGTAGTTGTGGCTCATGGGCTCTAGAGCGCAGGCTCAGTAGTTGTGGTGCACAGGCCCAGTTGCTCCACGGCATGTGGGATCTTCCCAGATCAGGGCTCGAACCCATGTCCCCTGCATTGGCAGGCAGGTTCTTAACCAGTGCGCCACCAGGGAAGCCCTGTTTATCTATTTTATGTAAAGTAGTGTGTATCTGTTAATCCCAAAGTCCTAATTTATCCCTCCCCCACTTTCCCCTTTGGTAACCGTAAGTTTGTTTTCTATATCTGTGAGTCTGTTTCTGTTTCACAGATAAGTTCATTTGTGTCATGTTTTAAATTCCATATATAAGTGATATCATATGGTATTTGTCTTCCTCTGTCTGGCTTCACTTAGTATGATAATCTTTAGGTCCACGCATGTTGCTGCAAATGGCATTATTTTATTCTTTTTTATGGCTGAGTACTATTTCATTATACAT